TCCAGATTTCAGTCCATAGCTCTGGCTTCCTCCCTCTTTGGCCTCATCTTAATCTAGAACAGAATCCCTCTTGAAACTGGCAGCCATGTCGACATGTTCTGTATTCCGCTTTCCAATATGGCAGCAATACCCATGCATGCAGTCATCTGGCACCTGGGGCCCGGCTGGCCTGTCCAGGACGGAGAGCTTTGAATTGCATTGTATTGTTGTTGTTGTTGTTATTATTATTATTATTATTATTATTATTATTTTGAGACAGGGATTCTCTGTATTGCTTTGGAGGCTGTCCTGGAACTAGCTCTGTAGACCAGGCTGGTCTCGAACTCACAGAGATCAGCCTGCCTCTGCATCCTGAGTGCTGGGAGTAAAGGTGTGCGCCACCAACGCCTGTTTGTTTATTTATTTTAAATAGAATACCTTGTCCACATTACTCAAGTGCTCTACAGCTGACCTACACCCCAGCCCTTTTGAGACAGTCTCATCAGGCAGTCCAGGTTTAGCTTCAGATGAGATTTTCAGGCAGGTGCAATAGCCCAGTTGGCAAAGGGCTTGCATTAAAAGCACAAAGACAGCCGCTTGATCCTCCGAATCTGTGTAAAAAACAATGCCAGTGTGGTGGCCTGTAGGTACAACCCAGTGATGGGAGGCAGAGACTGGCCAGAGCTCCTTCTGTCTCTTCCTAGGGCATCCTGGGATGACAAGTATGTGTCCCATGCTTAGGGCTTGATTTGCGTTGCATTTTAATTGATTTTGATACCACAATGGCCACCGTTTTGGACAGCAAAGGTCTAGAATGTTCCCTGCTCATCACTCGTCATTCAGTCACTCGTCTGTTTCTATCCCTGGACAGTTGTGCAGTTGAGTCCGGGAGTACATTTAATTTATGGCTGAATCACCTCCTCCACCCCGGATCTTACACAATGACATGCCTTAAGCTATGCCTGTGTTAAATTGCCAGCCGAGAGGGCGGCTCTGACTCCTTCCAGGACTCCTGGCCATTCAAGGCTTCTCCTCTCTCTGAACAGCTGCCTACCCAGGATTAAGGAAGAAAACAGTGTTTACAAAATACTTTTGTCAATGGCACTGACTGGGGTTGGGGTGGGTGGGGATAGTAAGGCCGAACCCACTCAGGCAGCTTCACACTCCAGGAGGGCACCGTACACACACACACACACACACACTCCATACAGACACACACACGCAATCCATACACACATACAATCCATACACACACAAACACTACACACACACACACAAACACTACACACTCACACACACACCACACAATACACACACACACAATCCATACACACACACAATACACACACACACAATCCATACACACACACAATACACACACACAATACACACATATACAACACACACACAACACACACACAAACACTACATACACACACACACACCAAAGGGAAGAAACAATAGAACATACGGAAACTGAGCTTGTGGATGAATACTGTAATACTGTTGTTTTCCATAACGACCCAACCCACTGCATGAGGTCTTGCGAAGGGATAAAACGTCCCAGCAAGGAAGTGGCCTCACATGCCCTGCCCTCCCGTAAGTAAGTTGCTTTCTTTCTCCTGCAAAGGGGGATTCCCCTGGCTGGGTGACGGTTGTGTGGAAGCTGGTAGAATGGGCTGAGGAGGGATGATGGGCTCTGCTCTGCAGGTTCTGTGGGACTTGGAGTGAGAAATAAGATAAGGAGTTTCCCATGGAACTCAGCTCTCCTTAACATGGACATGGACGGACGGAAGTGGCTGCTGAAGCCCCTGGGGTCATGCTGGGGTGGCCTTCGGGGACTCTTAACTGCAACAGAACCTAGAGACAGGCTGTGTGAGTCCCGGTTGTGGGGGGTGTCACCCCCATGGTCAGGACGTGTAGCCTTCTGTGGACCTACGTCATCCTCACATGGCCTCACAGCAGGGAAGCATCACCCTTTGTGGGGAGCCCATCTGTGCTGGGAATGGAGACAGAGGGTCTGTAGCCAAATTTGGTCAGGTGTTAGGCAATATTGGCTCAGCCCAAAAGCGACTAAAGTGATCCTAACGTGACCGACTTTGCTGTAGGATTTGGCTAAACGGTTGTTAAGATGGCACTGAGGGAGAGAGTTCAGCGTTGGCTTGATTTGAACTTGTAAAGGAGGCCGTGTGTGTGTGTGTGTGTGTGTGTGTGTGTGTGTGTGTGTGTGTGCCCGTGCGTGTGTATGTGTGTGTGCGCGTGTGTGTGTGTGTTGCACGCACGTGTTGGGGACCACTCTGCCCACCTCTCTGTCATCAGCAGGAACCTCTGATTATCATGGGGGCTGTGACCTGACACCCCACCCATGTCACATTCCTAGCCCAGCTCTGGACACCCCTTTTCTGACATACATGTTTAAACTTCCCTTTCTCCATCGGAAAGTAACGTGCAGTGGTGCATGGGACCACAGCACTGGTCCCTGGATGGGAGTAATTTTGCCCCTGAGGGGACAGACAGAGGGCAATGTCTGGAGTTGTTAGTTGTTACATACCAAAGAGGGTGCTAACAGCATTTTGGGGTAGAGGCTGGGCTCTCACAAAGCACCCTTAAATACACAGAACAGGCTTCAATATAAGGGGGACTGTGAGCAGGAACCCATGGGTCAGGACATTCAAAGGCAGCTTCATGTCTGCTTTCAATCATATGGCCCCAAACATGCATGGATTTTGTTACATGTATGTATGTATGTATGTATGTATGTATGTATGTATGTGTATAGGTGTATATATGTATGTGTATATGTATATATATGTATATATGTCTGTTTGAAGTCAACCTGAGCTACACAGTGAGGGAAAATAATTGGAAAAAGCAAACCCAAACATACCCGAGCTCGAAGAAAGGAAAATTTCCTTTTGTCTAGTGCAAGCTTAACTCTTCCAGGGGGTAGGGAAAATAATCCCGAAGGCACCAGGGGAAGACAGGAAATACAGAAATAGAGAAATAAACACATCAAAAGAACTTAGCTCGATAAATATTTGTTGAGTACTAGTGAAGTTCAGGATGTGTCTGGGCCAGGGGCACCCATGTTGATGGAGTCTCAAGGCCAAGCAAAAGTCTCTACGTCTGGAGACTAACACCACGGAGGAGGGTTTTCCCAGGTCACGGCTGGGGAGGAAGAGCTTAGCACGAAGTGGGTCTGCACAGGGCCAGTTGGGCTGGTGTCAGCTGAGGTTAGCTTATCTGCACTCCAGGGTAGCCAGGCACCTAGGAGTAGGCTAGCAGTTCCTTCCTCTGTGTGTGCACACATGCATTATGCCTGTTCAGATGCGGAGAGGAACAGTTCGGTGTGTGTGTGTCTGTGTATTGTGTGTGTATGTGGGTGAGCATGTGTGTGTATGTGTGTGAGCATGTGAACATGTGTGTATGTGTGAGCCTGTATGTATGTGTGTGTGAGCATGTGTGTGAGCATGTATGTGTGTGTGAGCATGTGTGTGTGTGTGTGAGCATGGAGGAGGCTAAAGGACAAACTCAACTCAGCTGTTGAGGCTTCTCAGGAGCCAGCTACCTTTTTTGTTTTTGTTTTTGTTTTTTGAGACAGGGTTCTCTGTGTAGCCCTGGCTGTACTGGAACTCGCTCTGTAGAGCAGGCTGGAGGCTGGCCTGTAACTCCCAGAGATCCACCTGCCTTGACCTCCAAAGTGCTGGGATTAAAGACATGTGCCACCACTGCTAGGCTTTTTGGGACAGGGTGTCTCGTTAGCTTGAACTCGCCAGGTAGGTGAGGCTGGCTGACCAGTGAGCCTCAGGCATCTGCCTTCTCTGTTTCACGATACCGGAGCTGTAAGTACAGGCCGCCGTACTCATTTTGTATGTGGATTCTAGGGACGGAACTCAGGACCTGTGCCTGCAAGGCAAGTGCTTTCCCAGCTGAAGGATCATCCCAACCTCCACTCTTCTCATTTAGGAACGGCACAGTAATGAACGACTGTTGTCTCCTGGAAAGATTAGCCACAGGATCACACGGGGCCTGGGTGGGATAGAAGTGATTATTGAGGACACATTCTCAGACCTACACATACCTCACGGGCCCAGAGAATTAATTGGAAGGATGCACAGACTCACAGCTGGGAGCCTGGTGCCTCTGCTGGGCCCCTTCCCTGCTTATCAGTCCAAACAGGACCAAAGTGCTCCAGGCTTAAGGAACAGGCATACAGGCCTGATGACAGGTGCTAGTGCTTGGGGACACGGTCGGGAGGTGGCATGCAAAGTGCTAAGTATTGGCAGACCCTTGGCAGCATCAGGGCATGCTGAAAACAGAGGCCTTGAAGCCTCGTCCAGGTCAGCTGAGCCAGAGCTGGCTTAGAGGAGTCCTGGGTTTGAGAAACCAAAGCTGGACCTCAGACTGAGGTGTGTAGCCAAAGGGGAAGAGGGCCTGCGCTTGCTTGCCTCCGGTCAGGCACTTAGAGAGGTGACAGGTAGATAGGATGGAGAATTTAAACATGGACTTAAACTCATTACACACACCCCCTCCCTTTCTTTGTCTATTGGTGGGGAAACATCTGGGATTGGGGAATGGCTTGAAGGACAGTCTCCATATTGGAAGAGGAGGGTCCTCCCCAAGCATCTGCTTGGCTTCTGGGGGCGGAAAGATGGGCAAGGGGTGATTGGATTACTTGCAAATGGACATCTGCTCAGCGCCCCCTGGTGGCAGAGGACAGCTGCTGCCGATTTCTGTCCATTAACCTGTTTTGGGAGGGACTAGCAGTTGCCCTGGACTGGTTTGGGATTATTCTGCTTATTGCCAGGGGCCAGTAGGTGATGGGTTCCCCTTCCTGAGAGGCTGGCTCAGGTGACACTGTACTCAGTGAGTCAGCAGCTTCCGTGGAGCAGTGTGTGTGTGTGTGTGTGTGTGTGTGTGTGTGTGTGTGTGTGTGAGATGTGGGGCTGAGCAAACAGTTCTCTTTGTTGGCTTTCTCTGTAGAGTCCCTTCCTAACCCATGCCCTCTTCTTGTATTTTAGCAGGAAGATGGGCTCCTTTGGACAGGGGTCGGTGCTGGGATGCTGCCTGTTCCTGGCCATCACCTGGGGCCCAGTGCTGAGCCTTGTACCACGCGGTCAGCAGGAACCCCTGGAGTGGGAAGAGAAAGAGGAGCTGCGGTCTCCTCTGGACCATGAGAAGAGGTGAGGGGCTGTGACACCGTGCTAGCAGGGGGCTTGAGCTGACCGGGTCAAGCGAGTGAGGGTTAGGGTGCTCCACGAGCGGTTGCCTAAAGTTGCAAAGGAGCGAAGCAGCAGCTGAGGCTTGGTTCTCAGGGAGGCCGATCCTGGAGGTCAGACAGGCAGTCTCTCCTTCTGGTGACTCAGGCATCTTGTCTGAATCCGAGGATGGTGCTCCAGCCTCCTTCTAACTCCAGGGCAGCGAGTCTGCAAGAGCTTTACATCTCGGTCATGAAAGACCACCTGCTCTGCCCTGCAGGCTGCCTTTGCCCTTTAGCCTGCTTTCCCAGACATATGTACCAAGGCCCTGGATAGGCATGCAAGCAGGAGGCAGGGACAAGCAGCCTCAACAACTTACTCATTTATAAGATGGCAATTCAGGCTAGGGGTCTTGGTTGGGATCATTTTCTCTGCCAGTTACAAACTTAAAAAACAAGCAAACAAACAAGGCCAGGCGGTGGTGCATGCCTTTAATTCAAGCACTCGGGAGGCAGAGGCAGGTGAATCTCTGTGAGTTCGAGGCCAGCCTGGTCTACAAAACTACACAGAGAAACCATCTAAAAAAACCCAAAAACCAACCAACCAAACAAACAAGCTGGAAAAATCTCAAGTACAACAGATGTCTCAAACACCGTAAACAGCAGCAGCAGCAGCAGTTGAAGAACGGCATGTAGGCGTTTATTGGGGGTGAGGAACAGGCACATAGCAGGGGAAAGACCCTCTGTTTTTCAGAGAGGGGGATCTCAGAAAGTCAAAACATCCGGTCTCTTCTCCAGGGCTGTTTTTTTTATTTTATTTTTTTTTTTAAAAGTCTCTAGAGAGTTTCCCTCCCCTAATTTAGGAAAGGTCAGTTTGAAGAAAGACAGGATGGTTGGTTGGTCCATGACTGCTGTATAACAAGTCCTGAGCTGGCCTTGAATCTGTTGAGCTGTCCTGTCTGGTTGGTCCATCAGCAGGGGCCCGGATGGTGCAGATCAGAGTCTACAGGGCTTTTGTTTGAAGCTGGCAGGCTTTTGTCTCAAGTCAGGAGACTGAGGGAAAAGCCAGCCGTGGGAGTTCACCACCTTTATCACCTAGCTGTGGCCTCTCTCCCTGTCTGTCTGCCTACCAGGGAGTCTGTCTACCTTCTAGGTAAGAACCCGCTGGTGAGGATGGCCCAGGCAGGCTAGGAGTCAGCGTCCCTTGACGAAGGACTCCAGGGTGCCACTTGCCTTCATGTCTGTGACCCTCAGTGATACTCAGACCTGAGGCTGTGGAAGATATTTTGTAGGGTGTCAGTCAAACATGATGTCCTAGAGGTCTACACAAGGCTCCATGCTGGCTTTGGGCTCCTTCATTACCCTGAACGCTGGGTCAATTTAATATTCAGGGTTCCAGGCAGGATTGTTTCTTCTTCCTCTCTGTTGTTTCCGTTCAGCAAACATTGATCAAGCAGCTGCTGTCAGTCAGGCCATCTCCTGGGTGCTGGAGCAGCACCTGGAGGACAGGCTTTGGCTTCTAGAAACCCTGAGGCCACAGGGAGACAGACAAACACAAGTCAGGCTCAGAAGTGGGGCTGCATCTACCCCTGCAGTGCCAGGGACCTCCCGGGTGTAGGAGGGAAAGGCAGAATGCTGTCGGCACAGTGGGAGGGTGGTTTGGGGTGGTGGGAGCTGGAGCCTGGGGATGGGGGAGTGTAAAGTGTGAAGCCTGAGGTAGCCGAGTATAGTGTGTCGGAAGGAGAATCTCATCCTGCAGCAGAGGTTTGTATTGGAGGGTGTTCTAGAAGGGACACCGGAAGCACCAGAGTGCATCACTGCAGGAAGACCAACCCCAGGACTGCTGTCCACAAGGTTCATTAGAGACGATAAGGGCCCGGGTCAGTCGTGGGGATGCTTTGGGAAGGGGTCGACTCCCCAGGACTTGCTGGATATGGAGGGGAGGCCAGGGAGGCGCGGGGGAGGGGGGGTGCTCTCTGCGGGCCGCTGTAATATGTGCTGGGGTAAGCGTTTGGAAGCAGCAGGCTTCACGGGCGAAGGGTCACTGTGGACACGTGAAGTCTGAGGCTGAAACGGGTGGGACCGGAACTTCCGGCAGGGGGTCTGAAGCTTAGGGGAGAGGTGTGTGTCTTTCTCCCGGAGCCGGGTTTTCACAGGATCGAACGCAGGGCGTGTGTGGATCCACGCCCCAGATTGCCTGGGGATGAAGTGAGGATCAGGGTTAGAGAGAGGCTGGCTTTCTTAGATCCCTCTGTGTCAAGCGCAGCCTCAACGAGGACAGCAGAGTGCAATGTTGCATTTGGCCATGAGATGGCGCTGTGAGCCATCGCTGTCCAGCGGCTGCTGTAGCCCAGAGGCATCAGAAGATGAAGCGAATGAAGTGAAATTGTTTACAAATGAGTTGCTGGTAGCTTGGGCTCTAGATGCATAGCCCCAGTTCTTTGCCACCGAAAGACCTGGTCCTGCAGGCAAGGTTCCTCCACCCAAGCCCTGAGGTTATTGTCATTTGCATTACCTTTGCTTTGAATGTATCACTACTATAACGGTGTGCGTGCGTGTGCGTGTATGTGCCAGTGTGTGTGCCCATGTCCGTGCGTGTGTGCCCATCCGTGTGTGCGCACACGCGCACACGAACATGCGTGCATGCGTGTGTGAGTGTGTATGTGTGTGTGCCCATGCGTGTGTGTGTGCGTGCGCGTGTATGTGCCCATGTGTGTGCCCGTGTCCGTGCGCGTGTGCCCATCCGTGTGTGTGTGTGCGAGCATGCACATGATGTGCATGCATGTGTGTGCATGCATGAGTGTGAGTGTGTGTGTGTGATCTGTGGTTTGACTCAATCTCAGAATTCCCCCCATGCCTATGCTAACCACAGCATTGCATACCCAGGGGAAGGGGAGCCCAGGAGAGCCAAGCCCTGGGTCCACAGCAGCAGAAGAGAGCTCCCAGCTCAGAGAGTTCATAGTTCTGCGGTGGTTTATTCCCTCAGGGATGAAGAAACACGGGAGAAGTATAGCTCCAGCCAGGGCGAACACGTTCCCACTTCCAGGTGTTACCGATGCTGTGACCCTGGCATGCCTGTGTACCAGACAATCCCACCACCCCAAATCAACATCACCATCCTGAAAGGTGAGAGAGAGGCTGACGGCTGACGGCTGCAGAGATGGCTGGGGGACTTCCCCGGGGCTGCCTTATATCCAAGAACAGGGAGATGCTGCTGGGTGGGGCTGGGCGGGATCAGGGAGGGGTCTAGGTGGGCTGTCACCTGGAGGGAAGGAAGAAATTTTGAGTTTTGAGTTGTGACCCTTTTCCATGAGCAGAAGGGGAACCTCAGAGGATGCTAGAGAGATGGCTCAGTGGGCAAGAGCTCTTGCTGAGAAAGCAAGATGACCCAAGTTCAAATCCTCAGCACCCACATAAAACCCGGGCATAGCCACATGTGCCTGTGACCAGCATGGGGAGGGGCAGAGGCAGGCAGATCCTAGAATCGAGGCTGAGACAATTGATTCAATGAGGAACCTTCCACTGAAGGGTAATTTAGCATGGGGCTGGAGAGATGGCTCAGCAAGTTAAGAGCAGTGGCTGCTCTTCCAGAAGGACCTGGGTTCAATTCCCATCACCCATATGGCAGCTCACAACTGTAACTCTAGGAGCAGGGGACCAGACACCCATGGAAAAACACCAATGCACATAAAATAAAAATGAATTAATTTTTAAAAAAAGGTAAGGTGGAAAAAGGAGACACCCAACATCATCTTCTGGGCTCTCCAAGTGCCTGTAGGGTGTGACACACATATGTCACACACGTACAGAAACACCACACATGCACATACATAAAGAGGGTCCTCGGGGCCCTCTCCCCTCCGTGTGCATGGGACTCGCAGACCTCGAAGCTCTTTGTTCTGATTCCATGTCAAGCCAGCTCTCTGCAATGCTGTGCCACCCCCCACACCCCCAGATAATTCACACAAGCCCGGGGATGCTTGCAACCTCCATCCTCCTCTGAGTTCTGACAACTGCAGTTTATTTCCTCAGCGTGAGCCCAGGCCTGGCCATGGGGCCTGTTGCTGCTGTTGCTGGTGGACAAACCCCTATGTCCCTTTATCTTTGCCAGGGTTTTCCAGAAAGAAACTAAAAGGCTTGTCTTCTGGATAAAAATAAAACAACCCTTGTCAGTGGAAACATTAGCTCTAATGGTATGAGAACCAAAATGTCCCCTTGCCCAGGGGCCTCCTGCTAAGGGACACCCAGGTCGGGACAGGTGTGTGGAGTCAGATGCCGCTGACCCCTTTAGGGCCCATCTCTTCTTTCTCTCCCGTAGGTGAGAAAGGTGACCAAGGGGATCGAGGCCTCCAGGGGAAATATGGTAAAACAGGCTCTACAGGTGCCAGGGGCCATACTGGCCCCAAAGGGCAGAAGGGGTCCATGGGGGCCCCTGGAGACCGCTGCAAGAGCCAGTACGCAGCCTTCTCTGTGGGCCGGAAGAAGCCTCTGCACAGCAACGATTACTTTCAGCCCGTGGTCTTCGACACGCAGTTTGTGAACCTCTACAAACACTTCAATATGTTCACCGGCAAGTTCTACTGCTATGTGCCCGGCATCTACTTCTTCAGCCTCAACGTGCACACCTGGAACCAGAAGGAGACCTACCTGCACATCATGAAGAACCAGGAGGAGGTGGTGATCCTGTATGCACAGGTGAGCGACCGCAGCATCATGCAGGGGCAGAGCCTGATGCTGGAGCTGCGGGAGCAGGATGAGGTGTGGGTGCGCCTCTTCAAGGGCGAGCGCGAGAATGCTGTTTTCAGTGATGAGTTCGACACCTACATCACCTTCAGTGGCTACCTGGTGAAGCCAGCCTCCGAGCCCTAGCTGCCGTCCCCTGTGGTACTGCCAGGGCCTGATGACCTCCTGGCCCGTCACCCCTGCCTTCCGCAGACACTGGAGTCCTGCCCCAGGCTGACCCCATGGCCCCTCCCTCAGTCCTGGCTTCTTTGGCCTTGGCTTCCTTAGTTTTGTTTTTTGACAAGATGCCCGGTGGCTGGCTGGCTGCCGGGAAGCCCAAAGGGGCCCTGTGGTCCCAGGTCTGGCTGCGGCAACAGATGAAATCACTGGGCGGGGTGGGGTGCCTGTGAGGACACTGGGGGGCCTCCAGCTCCTTCTGTGTACACAGCCTCAGACGACCCTGCCGTGTGCTGTCCTGCAGCCGCAGGGTGTTCCAGAGCACCGCCCCTGTGTGCTCCCATTCCTGGACATAATTAAGCAAATACCACGGGTTTCAAAGTAACAAAGTAAAGCAGAGAGGAGACGGAAAGCAGAGTTAGTGTTGGCCTTTCAGCTAACTGGCTCTTAGAGAGAGGGAGCGAGCGAGCGAGCGAGAGAGCCAGGGGGAGGAGGGAGAGAGAGAGAGTTAGTCCTGGGGAAGGTGGGCGGAGACCCTGCACAGGAATATATCTAAAGGGAATCATGATCTACAATGAACTCGCAGCAGTTTGTGGGTTTGGAAACCACACCTGACCTAACTCTATTAAAGCCATGCATGAGCTTTCTTGGGGACAGCAGGACTGACCTCCGAGCTCTGTTGACTTGCCACAGCCTTGCCCGGGTGCCTGTCAGTCTTTCTGAGCCACATTAGTGAAACGGTTGGGGAGGGCCGCAAATGCCAGCTCCCGCGAGGGGCAGCTGGCCCTCTGTGGTTGACTCTGGGCAGGGGGTGGCATTGGGCTCGCTCCGGCTCACAGGCCTCTGACAGTGGCTGTGGACCTCAGGGACTCCTGAACCTGCAGGTTTCTCTTTCTCTATAAGAAATAAGGTCCCAGTATATCCCAGCACCCCTCAGCTCTCCCCGACTCCCCAGGGCTACTCTGGAACCCTGGGTAGGTTCTCGTCCTGCCTGTTGTGGGATCTGTTCCCTGTCCCTCCTTCCAGATGGATCTGCTGTGGAAGGCAGCAGGCCTTTGATTTGGGTTCCACCAAGGTGCCCCTCACTAGCCCGTGTCCCGTCTGGGTGCTTGATGTGTTAACCCACAGAAGCTCATGGATCTGACAGGGCCACCTAACCTGACACAGCCCTAGCCAGCCTAAGGCAACGTGAAAGGGATTTCCTTTGGGTCCCAGAGCTGATAAAAGCTAGAGTATACCCTACCTACGCCTGGGTCAGTCCTGAAGTGGTACAAGAAAAAAATAGGACATTTACATCCCACCACCAGGCTCAGACTCAGGGATGGCTTCAGGACTGATTCTCAGATCTCAGAGAACCTGTGACCTCTCCCCAGCTCAGCCAGGATTGATGCCCAGGACCTGGGGACTAGATATCTTTTTTTTTTTTTTTTTTTTTTTTTCCTTTTTCTTTTTTGTCCCAACCAGGCCTTGCTTGGTGCTGTCTGCTAGCCCTCGGTTAGGACCCTTCTCTCCTGGTGTCTGACCATTGGGGCCCAGCGTTTGCACATGCCACCTCTGAAGGGGCCTCTGCTGATCAGAGTCTTCAAGTCACTTTCCCTGAGTGCCTGCAGCAGAGCCCTGTTGCCACCAGGGCTCTGCCCTGCTCTGTCCAGAAAACATTAAACTTGCCACGGCGGTCTTCAGCAAGCTGGCCTTTGTCTGCTGTTAGACAGCTTTCCTCTTTCCCTGGTACCCACCTTCTGCCTATTAGCAGCTGATTGTGTCTTCAGCTTTGTACTCAGGGCTCAAATCACCACGTCCCTACCAAGGAGACATGGATGCCCCCTGGTTCTGCAGAGCTGAACACTGGAGCTGTCCGGTGTGTGGACAGGGCTGGAGACTCATGTGTAGTGGTGGCCCCACGTTTGTTCTTCTGTGCTAGGGTGTGGGGCCTTGGGACTAGCAGAACAGGTAACCCCCTGGCCTGGACTGCAGCCTGGATGTCTGTATGGCTGTCCTGGGGCTATTGTCGCAGAGGCCCAGAAACCAGGTGGTTTCAAACAAACAAGTCTCTTCTCATAGCTATGGAGGTCAGAGTTCAAAAATTCAGGTGTGAACGAGGTGTTGCCCCTAGCAAGGGTTGGGGAAGGGCACTTCCTGCCACCTTTATTTGCAGGCATTCCTTGCCTGGAGGGAGGGACCATATGATTCTCAACACTTGTCTTCCTTTCAGGGACACTTGGGGCTGTATTTGGGGTCTCCCCTGAATTCTGGACTCACTACCCAGATTAAACTTAAAGACGCCTGCTAAAGGGATTTGTGAATGAACACACTGATGGGTATTGGAGGCCAGGGTGTGTGTGTCTCTTTGGGGGGAATCCCAGTGAAACTCATGACAACGCATGTGTCTGGACACTGTTAACAGCCCCTCTGTGCCCCGCACCCGGTAGTGAAGGGAAGCACTTCTTTTCACTGCTGGCCAACAAGGTCTGCAGCCAGCCCCCCTCTCTACCTACCAGCAGCTGGCTTGGAGGCTGGAATCAGCAGCTTGGCAAACAGCCTTTGCCTGGTGCTGGCAACCGATGTGGCCATGCTCAGCCTTGGAATGAGGCCAAAATGAGCAGGTGGACAAGGGCTCTTTTGAAAGGAAAGCTCCCTTCTCCACAGCGTGGAGGCTGCTGGGCAGAGAGGGGACCTACAGGTGCCTGGAAGCGGGGCCTGGAAGGAATGTGTTAGCCTCATTCAAGGGCCCCTGGCTGCCTGCTCTGCTGTCCTGAGGCCTGGGTGTACTCCATCCACAGCTGGCCCAATCACCAGGGGGAAGGAGGCAGCATTTGATCTGGTGCCCACCTGATGCCTCCCTCCTACCCAGCCCCCTTTTCTTTTTAGGGAAGGGTCTCATATAGGCCAGGCTGATTGTGAGCTCACTGCATATGAATAAGCCTGACCCTGAATCCCTGATACTCCCAACTCCACTTCCTGAATGCCAGGATTACAGGTGTGCCCAACATGCCTGACCTTTTAAAATGTTAACACATATTAATTATATATAATAAAGAGTTTCCTTATGACATTTGCATACATGTGCACAGTGTATTTCTGTCATATCCAGTCCCCATAATCTTCCTGTTCCTCTTTTACTTGGACTGATTTTATCCTCTTCCTATCTAGTCTTCTTTCTGTGTGTGTGTGTGTGTGTATATGTGTATGTGTGTATGTATGTGTGTATGTGTGCATCTGTGTGTCTGTGTGTATATGTGTGTGTATGTATGTGTGAGTGTATATGTGTGTGAATGTGTGTGTATGTGTTTATGTGTATGTCTGTGTGTGTATGTGTGTATGTATGTATATGTGTGTATGTGTATAAATGTGTATGTGTATGTGTGTATGTGTGCATCTGTGTGTGTCTGTGTGTATATGTGTGTATGTATGTGTGAGTGTATATGTGTGTGAATGTGTGTGTGTGTTTATGTGTATGTCTGTATGTATGTATGTATATGTGTGTATGTGTATAAATGTGTATGTTTGTGTGTGTATGTATGTATATGTGTGCATCTGTGTGTGTCTGTGTGTATATGTGTGTGTATGTATGTGTGAGTGTATATGTGTGTGAATGTGTGTGTGTGTGTGTGTGTGTGTGTGTGTGTCTCCAAAGGAGTCGCAGTAGGGTTGTTCATAGGAGCATGGGCACTTTACCAGTGAAGAACATACCCCTTTCTCCCAGGCAACTGGGTATAAATCCTCAGAGAAGGGTGTGGCTGTGAGAGCCCTTCCCAGTTCCACAACTGAGTGCTCGTGCAGCAATCACAGCTGCCATGCCCTCCAGAGTGCAGCAGCCATGCATTCCCAGAAGTCAGTGTTCTTGCTTTTGCTATTTATTTATTCATTCATTTATTTATTGGCTGTATTTCTTACTGTAGCCTAGGCTAGTCTCAAACCTCTAACTTGTGGCAGTCAGTCCTCTGGCTTCAGCTTCCTGAATGCTAAGAATACAGGCATGTGCTGTTCCCTGGTGTTCTGGCATCCCTCTTTTGGTTTTATTTTTATGTGTCTTGCCTACATGCACATAAACCCACCACATGTGTGAGTGTCTTCAAAGGCCAGGAGAGGGTTGCAGAGGCCCTGGAACTGGAGTCACAGATGGTTGTGAGCTGCCGGCCAGCCTGTGGTTTCTGGGAACTGACCCTGGGTCCTCTGCAAGAGCAGTACGCATTTTATGAAATTGATCCAATATCTCCAGAGGCTGGGCTGCTGGGAGAAGGAGAGCTAACGCATCTGAGGCTGTTTTTTTTTTTTTTTTTTGATTTTGTTTGTTTTGATGAAAACATCATAACGTTGGTGATCCTGGTCACACAATACCATGACTGCTAGGAACCTTGGAACCACACACTTTGCATCGCTGGGTTGTATAACAGAATGGTCACATACACACAACACATGAACATATCCATGCGCACACATGCACCCACATATGAACTTACTGCCACACATACCCACTTTCCCACACATGATCGGTTCTCCATTCCTGTCAGTTGAGGGCTGGAGAGTCCTGGTCCTTCTGAGTCATGATCCCCAGCAACAGTCTCTCATGACTTGGCTAAGGTGGAGTCAGAGTCAGGAGCCATGAGGTAGGACAGGAGCATGGGGTTAGCCCCTCCAAGAACATTACTGAACAAGCAGTTTTAACATCTAAAGTGTGAGATCACTCACTTTTGAGAGGCTGATTCAGGGGCCAGGGGAACATTCCAGAGGGACAAGTAATGGAGGACTGTGCCTTTCTCTCTCAAATCCCTGCCCTGGGTAGGGATCAGAACGTCAGGGTGACCTCAAGAGGCCACAGTGTCTGTCTAGCTCTTCCCAGCACAGGATGGAGTCCAGCCCATTTCTCCTGGAACAGACAGCCGGTGTAGACGAGGAGGCTACATGTCAGAGACTCCTACAAACGGGACTCAAGCCCATGGGCTCAAGGGAACCTGGAGTACTTCCTGCCCCGCCAGAGAAGATGTCCTTCTGACTGCTGGACGGACGGACATGCTGCTACGCTAACCCCCGCAGGCTGGAAGGCCTGCTTGCTGAGGACAGGCAAATGAATGCACACATGCCACAAGGCAGGGAGAGGACACAGGGTTGTCACCAACAAAATTTAAATAATACAAGAAGATAAGATTGAGAACTGTGGCAAAATAACAATGATAAGGAACCACACAGGAAATGCCAGAAGTGGGAAACTAAAGGATGAAGCCAAGACCCTATGGATGAATTTAATCCTATATTTCTGTCAAAGCTGAAGGGAAAATCAGCAAACGAGAAGGTGAGTCAGAAGAAAATGCCCAGGAGCAAGCATGGAAACGGCGAAGGTGGCGGAATGAGAGGACAGGAAGCCGCAGGAAACCAAGCCTGGCGCTCGAGGTGTCTGTCGGCAGTAAGAGGTGTCATGAGCTTAGAGACGGTCAGGACCACGGAGCAGGTATTAACCGGGATGTGTTAACAGACGTTTGTCTTGTGTGGCAGCGAGACAGGTGGACGAACCAGCTCCCTGAAGCCGGAGGTGGGACTTCACATGCTGGTCGGTTGAATTTTGACCATCAAGATGTTCTCAGGAGATGATCAAAGCACTCTTGAGACGATCAAAGCACTCTTGGGTGGGTGCATTTGGGAGAACTGTCGCTCGTCAGGCTCTGACAATTAGTGCAATCCACTGATGGATTCCTAATTG